TCAGACCACAGTCACCGCACAGGACCAGGAGAAGGTGACACTCTCACTCACTCACTTACTTATACACTCACTCACTCACTTACACACTCACTCACTTACACACTCACTCACACACTCACACACTCACTCACACACTCACACACTCACACAGACACTCACTCACTCACACACTCACACACTCACGCAGACCACAGTCACCGCACAGGACCAGGAGAAGGTGACACTCACACTTAGTTATACACACTTACACACTTATACACACTCACTTACACAGTCACACACACTCACTCACTCAGTCACTCAGACCACAGTCACCGCACAGGACCAGGAGAAGGTGACACTCTCACTCACTTACACTTATACACTTACACTCACACTCACTTACACTTATACACTCTTACACACTCACACACTCATTCACACACACATTTACTTATACACTCACTTGTACACATTTACTTACACACTTACACTTATACACACACTTACACACACTTATACACTTACACACTCACTCATACACTCACACAGACACTCACTCACACACACAAACCACGGTCACCGCCCAGGACCAGGAGAAGGTGACACAACAACAACAACCGCCATTCGCCACTAAGTGGCGGTGACGTCACCACGACGCTTGTGCCAGGCCAAGTGCACCTTGAGGCCACGTGAAGTGTCGAACGCCCGCTGGCAGGAGGTCACGGGGCAGACCCAGCAGGTGCCACGGGTCGACTGACCGAGACGTCCGAGATGAGTGGCTGATGCACCACCTGTGCCCCCTACTGTGCCAACTTGCTGTGCTTTAGCCACCCGGAGCTCCGCTCGTTGTTGTGAGCGTCGCTCTTCCGCCCTCCGTTGTTGTTGGAGGGCGACTGCCTCCAACTGCCCAGTAGCGTCCTTCACGAGCCTCCTCCACTGAGGCCGATCTTGACACCGCTGGTACCGGTCATCGGCAAGTCCACTCAGCTCCACGTCCTCCTGTACCACATCACTCCATCTCTTCTCTAGCCCGTGCCGCGCCCGTTTAGCCCCCTCGATCTGGCCGAACAAAACCTGTTTAGGCATGCGGTGGCTGGGCATGCGGGCTACATGACCCAGCCAACGCAGCCTTGCCTGCCGGAGGAGCTCACTGATGGGACTTTGCCCAGATCTTTCAAGGACTTGTGAGCTCCTCACACAATCCAGCCTGGTTAAACCCAGGATGGATCGTAGGCAGGCCAGCCTAAATGTTTCCAACCGGCGAAGATGCTCCACCAGGGGGGTCCACGTCTCGCAAGCGTAGAGAAGGGAGGGAATGACCGTGGCCGAGAAGACCTGAAGCTTCGTGCGGAGCGACAGACCAGGTAGCTTCCACACAGCGTTACGCAACCGATGAAAAGATTGCCGCTCGACTGATTCGGAGTGAGACCTCTGCTGATAAACTGGAGCCGGTCATAAGCACACTGCCCAGGTATGGGAAACTCTCCACTCTCTCCACAACTGCCCCATCACCAATTGGGAGTTGTGGGGGTGGAGTGTCCGATGGTACAAAATACCCAGGCAGGTGCTTAGTTTTGGTGGGGCTGATGGTAAGGCCCCACCTCTTGGTGGCACGCTCCAGTCTCAGCAGCAGCGTCTCCAACTCCTCTTCTGAATGAGCAGCTATTACCAAATCATCGGCATACATAACGTGGTTGACCAATAGGGAGCCATCCCTTGATCGCACCCGGGCATCGATCAGCCTCTCATTATATCTGTACCAAATGGAAATTCCCCCGGTACAGCTATTGAAGGTTTCACGAACTACGCGGTCAAAATAGATGTTAAATAATGTGGGAGCCAGAGGACATCCCTGCCGCACCCCAAGGTGTACAGGGAAAGGCTCCGACTCCCGGCCACGTAGTTTTACCCGGGCCCGCTCACCATCATGAAGGTCCTTAATGATCGTGAGCAGAGGGTCAGGGACTCCGAAAGCACGAAGAACAACCCAGAGCCCAGTCCTACTGATGGTATCATAGGCCTTGACCAGGTCAATAAAGCAGAGATGTATGTCTTTTTGGAATTCCCTACACCTCTGCTGTAGCAGACGGATAGAAAATATGGCATCTGTGCAGGACCGCCCTTTCCTGAAACCGCATTGGGGCTCCGCAAGCCTCTCCTCAGCGTGCCTAGCAAGGCGATGTTGAATAATCCTTGCCAGGAACTTACCCGGCACACTGAGGAGTGAGATGCCCCTGTAGTTGTTACAGTCGGTACGGTCCCCCTTCTTAAAGAGGGGGACCACCAGGGCATCCTTCCAGTCCTGCGGAATCCGTCCAGTGGTCCAAACTGTTGTTATGATGTCATATAGGGCAGTCTGTGCACAAACGCCACCCTCCCTCAGCATTTCGCTTGGGAGATCATCTCTGCCCGGTGCCTTCCCTGGTCTCAGACTCAGGATCGCCCTCAGTACTTCCTCAACAGCTGGCACCTCAGCCAGCCACTCACAGGTGACACTCACTCACTCACACACTCACACACTCGCTCACTCGCACACTCACTCACTCACATACGCACTTGCTCACACAATGTGTGTATCTGTGTGTATCTGTGTGTGTGTGTGTGTATCTAGTGTCTATCCGTGTATCTATGTGTGCATCTATGTGTGTGTATGTATGTATCTACGTGTGTGTATATCTATGTGTGTATCTGTGTATTTGTGTATCTGTGTGTGTATCTATCTGTGTATCTGTGTATCTCTGTGTGTGTGTCTCTATGTGTGTATCTGTGTGTGTATATCTGTGTGTGTCTCTATGTGTGTATCTGTGTGTGTGTGTATATCTGTGTGTGTGTCTACGTGTGTGTGTGTGTATCTATGTATATCTGTGTGTGTGTCTACGTGTGTATCTATGTGTATGTGTGTGTATATCTGTGTGTGTGTGCAGGCTGCCCTCATCATGCAGGTTCTGCAGTTGACACCAGAGCAGATTGTGTGTGTGTCTATCTGTGTGTGTGTCTATCTGTGTGTATCTGTGTGTAAGTGTATCTATGTGTGTGTGTGTGTATATATCTATGTATATCTGTGTGTGTGTATCTGTGTGCGGTAGTGTAGTGGTTAGCGCGCTGCGCTATGAACCTGGCGACCCGGGTTCGATTCCCGCTCACGGCCAACACCACCAGTGGCGATTATCTGAACCGCTCCTGGGCCTCCCCTAGGTCGACTCAGCCTCAAATGAGTACCTGGTGCGGTGTGTAGTAAACATCGCCACTGGGGAGACAAAGGCGGTCGGGCGTGGTGCTGGCCACCCACCCCCTCGTGTGCCGTGCCGGCCTTCATAGGTGCTCGCTAACAGCACTTGCCCCTACAGTCTGTTAAGGCTACACGGGGGATCTTTATCTTTATTTATGTGTGTGTGCAGGCTGCCCTCATCATGCAGGTTCTGCAGTTGACGCCGGAGCAGATTGTGTGTGTGTGTCTATCTGTGTGTATATATCTGTGTGTGTGTATCTGTGTGTCTGTGTGTATCTATATGTATCTGTGTGTCTGTGTGTGTGTGTCTACCTGTGTGTGTGTATCTGTGTGTGTGTATCTGTGTGTGTGTATATCTGTGTGTATATCTGTGTGTGTGTGTATGTCTACGTGTGTGTGTGTATCTATGTATCTGTGTGTATCTATATGTATCTGTGTATCTGTGTGTGTATATGTATCTATGTGTATGTATATGTATCTGTGTGTGTGTGTGTGCAGGCTGCCCTCATCATGCAGGTTCTGCAGTTGACACCAGAGCAGATTGCGCTCCTCCCCCCGGAGCAGAGACAGAGCATCATGATCCTCAAAGAGCAGATCCAGAGGACTACAGGGGCCATGTGACACCTCCTCACACGGCGAGGGGTGAGTGGGTGGGTGGGTGAGTGAGTGAGTGGGTGAGTGAGTGGGCGAGGGGGTGAGTGAGTGGGTGAGTGGGTGGGTGAGAGAGTGGGTGAGCGAGTGAGTGAGTGGGTGAGTGGGTGGGTGAGTGGGTGGGTGGGTGGGTGGGTGAGTGGGTGGGTGGGTGAGTGGGTGGGTGGTGGGTGGGTGAGTGGGTGGTGGGTGGTGGTGGGTGGGTGGGTGGGTGGTGGGTGAGTGGGTGGGTGGGTGGGTGAGTGGGTGGGTGGGTGGGTGGGTGGGTGGGTGAGTGGGTGGGTGGGTGGGTGAGTGGGTGGGTGGGTGGGTGAGTGGGTGGTGGGTGGTTGGGTGAGTGGGTGGGTTGGGGTGGGTGGGTGATTGGGTGGGTGGGTGGGTGAGTGGGTGGGTGGGTGGGTGGGTGAGTGGGTGGGTGGGTGAGTGGGTGGGTGGGTGGGTGAGTGGGTGGGTGGGTGGGTGAGTGGTGGGTGGGTGGGTGAGTGGGTGGTGGGTGGGTGGGTGGGTGGGTGGGTGGGTGAGTGGGTGGGTGGGTGGGTGGGGTGGGTGGTGATGGGTGGTGGTGGGTGGTGGGTGGGTGGGTGGGTGAGTGGGTGGGTGGGTGGGTGAGTGGGTGGTGGGTGTGGTGGTGAGTGGGTGGGTGGGTGAGTGCGTGGGTGGGTGGGTGGGTGAGTGGGTGGGTGGGTGGGTGAGTGGGTGGGTGGGTGGGTGAGTGGGTGGGTTGGTGGTGGGTGGGTGGGTGGGTGGGTGGTGGGTGAGTGGGTGGGGTGGGTGAGTGGGTGGGTGGGTGGGTGGGTGGGTGGGTGAGTGAGTGAGTGGGTGGGTGGTGAGTGAGTGAGTGGGTGGGTGGGTGAGTGAGTGGGTGGGTGGGTGAGTGAGTGAGTGGGTGGGTGAGTGAGTGTGTGGGTGAGTGGGTGAGTGGGTGGGTGGGTGGGTGAGTGGGTGGGTGGGTGAGTGGGTGGGTGGGTGAGTGGGTGGGTGGGTGAGTGGGTGAGTGGGTGAGTGGTGAGTGGGTGGGTGGGTGGGGGGTGGGTGGGTGGGTGGGTGATGGGGGTGTGGTGGGTGGGTGGGTGGGTGGGGTGGTGGTGAGTGGGTGGGTGGGGTGGTGGGTGGGTGAGTGGGTGAGTGGGTGGGTGGAGTGGGTGAGTGGGTGGGTGGGTGTGTGAGTGGGTGGGTGGGTGGGGTGAGGTGGGTGGGTGGGTGGGTGGGTGGTGGGTGGGTGGGTGGGTGGGTGGGTGGGTTGAGTGGGTGGGTGGGGTGGGGGTGGGTGAGTGGGTGGGTGGGTGGGGGTGGGTGGGTGGGTGGGTGGGTGGGTGGGTGAGTGGGTGGGTGGGTGGGTGGGTGGGTGGGTGGGTGAGTGGGTGGGTGGGTGGGTGAGTGGGTGGGTGGGTGGGTGGGTGAGTGGGTGGGTGGGTGGGTGAGTGGGTGGGTGGGTGGGTGAGTGGGTGGGTGGGTGGGTGAGTGGGTGGGTGGGTGGGGTGAGTGGGTGGGTGGGTGGTGTGAGTGGGTGGGGGGGTGGTGTGAGTGGGTGGGTGGGTGGGTGAGTGGGTGGGTGGGTGGGTGAGTGGGTGGGTGGGTGGGTGAGTGGGTGGGTGGGTGGGTGAGTGGGTGGGTGGGTGGGTGAGTGGGTGGGTGGGTGGGTGAGTGGGTGGGTGGGTGGGTGGGTGAGTGGGTGGGTGGGTGGATGAGTGGGTGGGTGGGTGGATGAGTGGGTGGGTGGGTGGATGAGTGGGTGGGTGGGTGAGTGGGTGGGTGGGTGGGTGTGTGAGTAAGTGAGTGAGTGGGTGGGTGAGTGGGTGGGTGGGTGAGTGATCAATGACAGCGAATATCTGTCTGTGTGTGTGTCTGTGCGTGTCTGCGTGCGTTGTCTGTGCTGCGTGTGTCTGCGTGTGCTCCGTCTATGTTTGTCTGCGTGTCTGTGTGTGTCTGTGTGTCTGCGTGTCTGTTACGTCTATGTGCTGTCTGTCTGCGTGCGTTGTGTCTGTGCGTGCTCTGTGTATGTCTGTGTACGTCTGCCTGTGCTGCGTGTGTCTGTTACATCTGTATGTGCTGTCTGTGTGCGTGTGCCTGCGTGCGTTGTGTCTGTGCGTGCTGTGTACGTCTGCGTTACGTCTGTATGTGCTGCGTCTGTCTGCGTGCGTTGTCTGTGCGTCTGTCTGTCTGTGCGTCTGTCTGCGTGTGTCTGTGTGTGTGTGCGTGTGTCTGTTTGTGTCTGTGCGTCTGTCTGCGTGTGTGTCTGCGTGTGTCTGCGTGCGTGTGTACGTGTCTGCGTGTGTCTGCGTGCGTGTGTACGTGTCTGCGTGTGTCTGTGTGTGTGTGCGTGTGTCTGTGTACGTGTCTGCGTGCGTTGTCTGTGCTGTGCGTCTGTCTGCGTGTGTCTGCGTGCGTGTGTACGTGTCTGCGTGTGTCTGCGTGCGTGTCGTAGGGACGCGGCTGTGGTACGAGGGAGACGCTCCGCAGGGAACCTCGTCGCACACGAAGCCCCCCCCCCCCCCCCGTGGCGGTGTTTACTGCACCGCACCGGGTACTCGTTTGAGGCCGAGGCGACCTAGTGGAGGCCCAGTGCAGACGCTCGCTTCTCCATTCACTCGCCCACCGAGCCACTCACGCGCGCCGTGGAGAGGCGACGTGCAGCCGGTGGTGGCAGTGGTGGTCATTTGAGGCCGAGTCGACCTAGGGGAGGATGTTCGCCGCCCCCCCCCCCCCCCCCCCCTAGTGTTGATGGTGGTGGTGTGAGAGCGGGAATTGAACTCGGGTCCACCGGTTTCATAGCGCGTGACACACACACAGTGACACACACACACACACAGTGACACACACACAGTGACACATTCACAGTGACACACACACAGTGACACACACACAGTGACACACACACACAGTGACACACACACACACAGTGACACACACACACACAGTGACACACACACACAGTGACACACACACACACAGTGACACACACACAGTGACACAGTGACACACAGTGACACACAAACACACACAGTGACACACACACACAGTGACACACACACGTGACACACACACACGTGACACACACACGTGACACACACGTGACACACACAGTGACACACACAGTGACACACACACACGTGACACACAGTGACACACACACACGTTACACACACACGTGACACACACACACGTGACACACACACACGTGACACACACAGTGACATACACACACAGTGACATACACACAGTGACATACACACAGTAACACACACACAGTGACACACACACAGTGACACACAGTGACACACACACACAGTGACACACACACAGGGTGGGGGTGGGGTGGGTGGCCACTCGCACAAACGCTCGGCCGCCTTTGTCTCTCCCCAGTGGCCACGTTTACAGGCCGTGCCCCTGGCACTCGTTTGGGGCCGAGTCGACCTAGGGGAGGCCCACGCCTGCACGGTGTTGTAGTCGATGCTGGTGTCGCCCTCCCGGTTTGTTTGTTGTTGATGTTTGGTTGAAGTTGAATAAAACGCCGCTGAGAAAACCACTGCCCATCATGGGCTGCCTTGTGTGGCATTGAGTGGAGCAGGTCTGTGGGTCTCTGTGGGTCTGTGTGTCTCTGTGAGTCTCTGTGTGTCTCTGTGTGTCTCTGTGGGTCTCTGTGGGTCTCTGTGGGTATCTGTGAGTTTGTGGGTCTCTGGGTCTCTGTTGGGCTCTGTGGGTCTGTGTGTCTCTGTGAGTCTCTGTGTTTCTCTGTGGGTCTCTGTGGGTGTCTGTGGGTCTCTGTGGGGTCTCTGTGGGTCTCTGTGTGTGTCTCTGTGGGTATCTGTGAGTTTGTGGGTCTCTGTTGGTCTCTGTGGGTATCTGTGTGTCTCTGTGGGTCTCTCTGGGTCTCTGTTGGTCTCTGTAGGTCTCTGGGTCTCTGTGTGGGTCTGTGTCTCTGTGGGTCTGTGTGTGTCTCTGTGAGTCTCTGTGGGTCTGTGTGTCTTTGTTGGTGTCTGTCAGTCTCTGTGGGTCTCTCTGTTCATCAAGTGAGGCCATTCAGGCTGTCCATCTCATGGTATAGGGGTGGTAATTACTGGCGAAACGTCGTACTCAGATTGTGAATGTTGTGGTGGGTTTACTCTGCCAACACACAGGCGGTTAGTGCTGTCCAACACTCGAAGTCGGATGTCCGACTTGTATCTTTATTAGAGATGACACACAAACTGCAGACTTCTCATTGAACTCGGTTCAACCCTTTAAATCGACACAAATATTTTCCAATTAAAAAAAAACGTCGTCTGAAAAGCCAACGAGACAAGTGAAATGCTTTAATGCCGATGTCAAGATAACTTTAAACACTTTGTCCTGCTGCGGAGGGAGCTGGTAGGAACACGTTGGGTTGCTCGGTCAATGGCCTGCAGGGTCAACGGCGGCGTGGTGTATTCCGCAAATATTCCCGACTGTGAGGGCGGGCACAAGCCGGCGTGAGTAGGTGAAACGTTGAGTTTTATAAGGGCACCACGGGGTGACCAGCCCTTCCCCACCCAGCCCCACCCTCCCCACCCTCCCCACCCAGCCCCTCCCCACCCAGCCCCTCCCCCCCCACCCAGCTCCTCCCCACCCAGCCCCACCCCACCCTCCCCACCCAGCCCCTCCCTCCCCACCCAGCCCCTCCCCACCCCACCCTCCCCACCCTCCCCACCCAGCCCCTCCCTCCCCACCCAGCCCCTCTCCACCCAGCCCCAACCTCCCCACCCAGCCCCTCCCTCCCTCCCCACCCAGCCCCTCCCTCCCTCCCCACCCAGCCCCTCCCTCCCCACCCAGCCCCTCCCTCCCCACCCAGCCCCTCCCAGCCCCTCCCCACCCTCCCTAGCCCCACCCTCCCCACCCAGCCCCTCCCCACCCAGCCCCTCCCTACACGACAAACGGACGGACGCAATAATCCCCTGTGGGCTGGTGTAACCAGGAGATTCCTACCCAGTGTCTGAGTGACCCCCCCAGTGACTGTGTGACCCCCCCAGTGTCTGAGTGACCCCCCCAGTGTCTGAGTGACCCCCCCAGTGACTGAGTGACCCCCCCAGTGTCAGTGTGACCCCCCCAGTGTCTGAGTGACCCCCCCAGTGTCAGTGTGACCCCCCCAGTGACTGAGTGACCCCCCCAGTGTCAGTGTGACCCCCCCAGTGACTGAGTGACCCCCCCAGTGTCAGTGTGACCCCCCCAGTGTCTGAGTGACCCCCCCAGTGTCAGTGTGACCCCCCCAGTGACTGAGTGACCCCCCCAGTGTCTGAGTGACCCCCCCAGTGTCTGAGTGACCCCCCCAGTGTCAGTGTGACCCCCCCAGTGACTGAGTGACCCCCCCAGTGTCAGTGTGACCCCCCCAGTGTCTTGAGTGACCCCCCCAGTGTCTGAGTGACCCCCCCAGTGTCTGAGTGACCCCCCCAGTGTCTGTGTGACCCCCCCAGTGTCTGAGTGACCCCCCCAGTGTCTGAGTGACCCCCCCAGTGTCTGTGTGACCCCCCCAGTGTCTGAGTGACCCCCCCAGTGTCTGTGTGACCCCCCCAGTGACTGAGTGACCCCCCAGTGTCTGTGTGACCCCCCCAGTGTCTGAGTGACCCCCCAGTGTCTGAGTGACCCCCCAGTGTCTGAGTGACCCCCCAGTGTCTGAGTGACCCCCCAGTGTCTGAGTGACCCCCCAGTGTCTGATGTGACCCCCCAGTGTCTGATGTGACCCCCCAGTGTACTGAGTGACCCCCCCAGTGTACTGTAGTGACCCCCCAGTGTCAATGTGACCCCCCCAGTGTCACTGTGACCCCCCCAGTGACTGAGTGACCCCCCAGTGTCTGAGTGACCCCCCAGTGTCTGAGTGACCCCCCCCAGTGTCTAAGTGACCCCCCCAGTGTCTGTGTGACCCCCCCAGTGTCTGTGTGACCCCCCCCCAGTGTCTGTGTGACCCCCCAGTGTCTGAGTGACCCCCCCAGTGTCTGAGTGACCCCCCCAGTGTCTGAGTGACCCCCCCAGTGTCTGTGTGACCCCCCAGTGTCTGAGTGACCCCCCAGTGACTGTGTGACCCCCCCAGTGTCTGAGTGACCCCCCCAGTGTCTGTGTGACCCCCCCAGTGTCTGTGTGACCCCCCCAGTGTCTGAGTGACCCCCCCAGTGTCTGAGTGACCCCCCA